GACGAAGCGAATGGTCTCCTTCCTGAAGATCGCTTAAGTATATTTTGTGAGGTAATCATTCTGAATTATTCACTTTTCATTAATCGGTCGGAGAAAATCACTGATGGAAATTTTCGCGGGGGAACTGGAAGCTTGAAAGCCTGTAAACTCTTTCCTTTCTTTTCGTAAAAGCTTGAAAATTTATGAATCACCTGGAATCAGCTTTGCTCCTCTTTCTTTCTTCGCCAGTATCCCTCACTTCGATTTGGGGCTGCTTTTGTTCAGTGGTATTTTGGGCTACTTTTTGTTTGATTCGCTGTTTTCATCACTTCCGTTCAATGTTGTTTAGGTCTCGGTTGTTGCTGAAACGGTCAATGTTACGGGGCAATCGAATTTGATGCAGTTTAGGGTACCGCCGTGTCGGTTATCGGAGGATATGTCAAATCTTTTCGAAAAACATTGTTTTTCGGATTGCCTCCTCGTAACAGGATCGAAGGAATTCCATGTAAGCAAGCTTGCTTTAAAATTAGACTTTTGAGTAAAATTTTTTGGGGAATATCATAAGTTGAGGGAAATTTCGACGTACTAGAGGTTTTTAACCCCTCTACCTAGGTTTTTTAACCTTAATTAACTATAACAATTATACTTGTAATTTTTCGAATGCGTAAAATGCAAATTTTGGATCAAAAGCGATGTCAGGAAACTTTTTTCTCTCAAAAAGTACAAAAATTCTGAAAAAAAGCCCGAGAAATTTGTCATCATTCATTCGTCAGAAAAATAGCTCTTTAGACGCGGTTATGGAATGTAAACAGAAGGCAGTGACACATCACAATAATTAATAATTAGAAGCGGTGGTTTGAAAGTGACCTGTAGTCTCAAATCTGCTCTTTATTTGCCATCATAGTCTGGTCGGTTTTTCCCCCAATTCGATCGATTCCTCCAGGCCTGCTATGCTTCCTTGCCGGGCATATTTTGCTTGTTTCTTGATCAGGAATCATAGGCGGATCCATGACCTCCTCCCTCACCCCTTTTTTCTTCCCTTCCCCTTCAGCGGTACAGGTAGCAGTGCTAAAACTGTAGAAAACTCTTCCACACCCTCGGTTGCCCTCCTGCCTGGTCATCACCGGTAGAAACCATACACCTCGTCCCCCTCTCCGAGGAGATCGT